ACTAGCTATCATGTAAAGTGTTACTTTAATGAGAAAGGTCAAGGAGAGAATACAAGTGCTGTAGATGATAGAAATTCAAAGTGTCCATGGAAGCTTAATGCAGCTGTTAGGAAAAAATCTAATGGCCAATTTATGATCTCTAGTTATTGCGGACTCCATACATGTTCTAATCCGACTGTAACTTATGATCATAAGACTTTGACTTCCTCTTATATCATGAAGGTAATTATGCCCGAAGTTAGGCGGGAACTTGATCTTACTCTAGGACAGATAATTACAAGGGTATATGATATGAAAAGAATAACAATATCCAAATACAAAGCATATGATGCACAGAGGAAGGCGTTGACTAAAATCTTTGGAGATTGGGAGGAATCTTACCAATTACTTCCGCATTATCTTGAGAGGAAGGCGTTGACTAAAATCTTTGGAGATTGGGAGGAATCTTACCAATTACTTCCGCATTATCTTGCAGCAATTAAGAGGAAAAATTCGGTACCGAATATGAGATAGTGTCTAAGGAGGTCGCGCTGGAAATGGAGAGGTTCATCCGGGTACAGAATATGAGATAGTGTCTAAGGAGGTCGCGCCGGAAATAGAGAGGTTCATCCGGGTATTTTGGGCATTTGGGCTCGCTATCAGAGGGTTCTCTTTTTGTCGTCCGCTCTTGAGTATCGATGGAACACATTTATATGGCAAGTACAAAGGAGTGCTCTTGGTTGCGACCGGTGTAGATGCAAACGGTGGGCTATTTCCTATAGCTTTTTCAGTTGTGGAGGATACATCGAGTTGGAAGTGGTTTTCTAATATATTTACAGATACATTCCGACTGTTCAAAGTCTAAGAGTTATTACTTTTATTTCTGACCGGATGAAGGGAATTCCACGAGCCTTGCATGAAGGGTGGAGTGTAGGCATCGAAAATTGCCTATAGGTCTCCACGAACAGCTCAGTGTTAAGAAATGACGATGAACGTCACCATCTGGTTCACAGAAGCTTGATTGATGTCGGTGAATGCTTGAAGTAAACCGACGAACTACGTGAAACAACGAAACTTCGGAATGATGAAGGTACGAACTGATCGGGAACCTCGTATCGTTCACAAACGGCGAAATACCCTTCGTGTCTCATTTGTTCAACTGATGATATAATCATTGGAGCTTATAGAACTCTTCGTCAGCTTCCCAACGCACTTGGAATCACTCAAATCCGAGTTCGGACGAAGAATTTACGGCGGAAACAATCAAACAGGCATAACGGAGCGTCTCAGGCTGAAGCGGAAGCGGATGAATACACCTCAATGGAGTGTCTCGGACCAACGAGACACCCTACGGTGTCTCGACTAAGGCGGAGACACCCTAGGGTGTCTCGGTCCAGTTTGAGACACCCTGGGGTGTCTCCAATGCAGAAAAGGTCTTTTAGGAGGTTTTAACCGCCCGGACGTCCGTAAAGCCTATAAATAGAGCCCCTGGGTCCTCATTTTTTCGGATCTGGAATTCTCGTGCCTCGGCGAAGCCCTGCCGGATTGAAGACTTAAAGTGCACAGATTTCAGAGAGGATGAGGAGTTAGATCTGCAGCCCGGTTCGTTCCTTAGGATTATCCCGTTGCGGTAATCTTAAGAAGAGTGATTATCTCGCTTCGCCGAGATAAGAGCTACGGTTTCTCAATCCCTTCGCGGATAGACGAAGCTCTGCCTAATTTTTTAGCAATCAGATCTGATCGACGGTGGTCCACGGATAAACCCCGACACAGGCAAAGATCCCACGCAAGCAGAAGACCGATAAACGATCTCTGCGTTTGTTTGATAAAGTTGTAAACTTTTTATTTTCATTGTGTAAGGAGATCTTATAAAAAGATCAACTTTTTATTTCATTCGAGTTTATTGTAACGACTAAAGTTGTAATAGATTCAATAACAATGGAAATAGCAACTTTCACCGCAAACAAACTGGCGACCATAGTGGGAGCCAACAGCTTCGCTGCCGAAGCTGTCGTGTCGTAACCACGAAGGGAAGGGGTGAATTTTTTCATTTGTTAAGTTTTTTCGGCACTAAGCCTTATATTGTTGTATGGATTTATTGACTTTGATTTGTTTTTTTAAACTAAATATTATCGTATGGGTAGAAATTGATACATTTGGATTTGTTTAGCTTAGACTGATACTCATACCTCTAATCCGTATCGATTCCTTGATGTGTACACTCTTCTGCTCAGACTTCTTGCGATGTGACTGTGTATTTCGTCCACGACTTCTTGCACGCTGCATAGTGCTATCTCGTCGATTTGTGTTGTGATGCTACTGCGATCGCATCTCAACAGCTACGGATTTGTGTGGGATGTTGTGTATCTCTCTTAGACTTTGTCTTTCGCTAGATGCTGCTACATTTTCACTAATTTCTGATAGCTATACCAATCGCAATGCATCATCATCTTTGGTAAAAATTTAGTCGTATATCGATAAATGAGGCATGTGCATGTTTTGGCTCTGCCTAGCAAATCGCGGACTACTAGTCCGTGGATTTGCTGGCACAGGTGAATATTTGCTCTGCAAAATCTACGCGGACTAACTGTCGTAGTTCTTTCGGAATGAACAGAAAAACGGGACTGTAGTCCTGTATGTTTTCTGAGTCGCAGCTATCGGTGATCTAAGTTGGCTCTTAACATATGAGACCGTAAGTCCGTATGTTTTTCATGAGGCCTTCTTTCTCAAAATCGACCTCGTTTTGCGCCTAATGGCCAAAAAGATGTCTATTTGGCTAAATATTTAGGCAAAATGGCTATTATTAAAAAATTCCCGGCTTTTAGAAAATGCTTCTATATAATTACTAGGATATTATTATATGAAAATCATTGACAAAGAGATATGTAGTTAATTAAGTAGATGCTAAGTTGGGAAAATTTGGCAGGTGAATTGAGCTGGTGATTATCCGACTGTTGAGCAGTGCAATAAATACACAAATAACACAATATTAAGGCTTGCTTAAAGCAAGGCATGCCCAGACTCGCTTTTCTTAAAGTCAGAGCGTCATTTTTTTTATTAAGACAAGCATCTTTTCGTTTCTTCCAAGGCATAACGTTAACCAGGATGTGATGCAGGTCCCCGTTTACTTTTTATTAAAGCCAACATGGCCATAATTTTTTTAAAGCCAACCATGTGAGAGCTGCAATGATTGATGCTAAGATCCGACACGTGGTCGGCTTCATGAGGATGATCAATATTTAGGTTTAATGAAGTTATAACGGATTTCTATTCTTCTTCTTTTTTGTATTCATTATTATCAAATCTTTACACTCAGCCTCATCAATCTTTAGTAGTTTAAACATAATCCCTAATGTTAAGTCTACAAGTGTAGACCAAAAGTCGACCAAACTGGAATCACGAAGAAAACAGCTCAAAAAGTCCGAAAACACTTTGTCAGACTGATCCCCGTGGTCGACGCGAACCGTGGGCACAGAGCTGAGAAGAGGCTAGAGCTGAAGAACGGTCCGACCGGGGTGCGGTCGACGGCGTGTGGACCCTGTAGGATTTCTTTGGGCTCTATCCGTTTGATACGAGTAACTGGCGGCTGGTTGGCGGTCGACCGCGATACCTACGCGGTCGACCGCCAAGGTCGATCGCGACGTAGTCAAATAGTTTCCTAAACTGTTTTGGATTCTGTTTCTTTTAGGACTCTGTATATATACCCAAACATTTTAGGGTTTGTTAGACACGAAAATAAAGAGCTTTTTGACTGCAGAAAGAGAGAGAATCTCAGAGAGATAAAACCTAGTTTGAGAGCTTGTAATTCTTCTTTAATTAATCAAAGGAATTATGTGGTGTAGTTCCCAAGGACGTAGGCACGTTACCGAACCTCGTTAAATCTGTGTGTTCGTCTCCTTTATTATTTCTGCAAGTTTTGATCTTTATTTGTGGTGAATTTTCTTACTTTCCTACTTTCAACACAAGGTCCAGAAGGGCAATGGTTCGATTGATTGTTTCGAATCCCCAACAACTGGTATCAGAGCTTCATTCAGCAATTTGTGTGAGAGCCATGGCAGAGGAAATCAAATCAAATATCGAGTAGTTTGACGGTTCAGACTTCGCCTACTGAAAGTCCCAGATGGAGGACTATCTGTACCAGAAGGACTTGTATCGCCCGTTGATGGTCAAGGATAAGAGATAGAAGAAAGAGGAGTCAGATGGTGATTATGAGATACTGGATAGGAAGGCTCTGTTAGACCCTAGAGGAGGGGGGGGGTGATTAGGGTCTTATGCTAATCTAATCTGATTTTATGCCAATTAAAACTAATTTATAAATTATTCTTGCAAGATAGATATACAAGAGTTATAAACAAGAATAAGCAATATGAACAAAGGGATATATCCTAGCAATGATATATATGCTGAAATATATGCAAGGATATATAAATAACACAAGGGTAAACAATCTAAACTAGATAGTGGGCAATATAAACAACATGCAATATACAAAGGTGATATAAGATATGAACATAAAAATAAGTGTGTCAATGCAATCACAAACAAACGATATGATCACGGAGTTCGGACCTTCCGTCCTACGTTTTCGCTCCCCACTCCCGGGGAGAAATCGACTATCACAACTGGGTTTTCTACGCTTACCCAAATAACGTTTACACCTTACAATTTCGTTCACGGAGTTTGGTCCCCACGATCTACGTCTCCGCTCCTCACCTCGAGGAGATCTTCACTTTCACAACCGGGTTTTCTACGCTCACCCGAATAACGTATACACCTCACAATACGATTAAGGGGGTATTTATACCCATTCAAAACTTTAGTAAAAACCCCAAGGAAATGACCAAAAACCCACAAACAAACAAAACAGAAAACTAGCCGTTACTGTGCAACGGCTCTTTGATAAGTCGAAGAATAATTCATTGGTGGATTTTATGATACAGTTTAGCAGGGGACTAGTGCGCCAACGTCACGAGGTAATTGAGAAACCTAAACTTAGAATAAATCACGATTTTTTGGAGCAAATGGTTGATATTTACACGAATGAGATGTATTACAAGTTTGAGACTGAAGTGTGTGACAGCTTTAACTACAAGTTGCAATGTGTTAGGGAAACCGACAATCACTGTGTGTATCAAATTCAAAGAAAAAAGCTTGCAGCAAGTAAAGTCCGCGAAATCGTTTATGACAAGGACTTGGATTTGGTTTCTTGTAGTTGTAAAAAGTTTGAAAGCGCCGGAATCCCATGTACGCACATTATCTCATATTTGATGAAGTTTGATGCTGAAATATTGCCCGATAAATACATCTTAAAGAGGTGGACTAAGACTGCAAAATCAGGGACAGTGGTTGATAATAAAGGCATGCAGATAACCTCTGACAATTCTTATCTTTTAACGTGGAGTCAATTTATCCAATCATCTTTGGATTTAGTTGACAAGTCCCTCGTATGTGAAGAAACAAGAACGATGTTTACCGATGGTTTGCGTAGCATTAATGAGCAAATAAGTCAATTTCTTAGTAGCCGCATGGCTGTAATGAGCTTCACCGAGAAAAGTAATTCAATAGGTAGTAATATAATAGGTGATGGTGATGGTACTAGTGCGCATGGTTCTTGCCAAAATAGTTTCAATGAACCCGATCAAGTGCGAGCAAAAGGGTGCGGCAAAAGGTTGAAAGGAGGAAAAGAGAAAGCAATGGCTAGAATCAAAAATAAAAGAGAGAGACGTTGTCACGGGTGTGGAAAAGTAGGCCAATCACATGATAAACGAAATTGTCCGGCACTCAAATCCGTAAGTAATAATTCTTCTATTCTTTTTGTTGTCTTATTTTTCACATTCTAGTATCCCTCTTGATGTATTTATATATTTATTAATATAATGTAGGTCTTCTACATGCGTTACAAATCCGTAAGTAATAATTCTTTTATTCTTTATGTTGTCTTATTTTTCACATTCTAGTATCCCTCTTGATGTATATATATATATATATATATATATTTTAATATAATGTAGGTCTTCTACATGCGTTGATGTGAATTTGCAAGAGGGTAATGAGATATCAAGTGAAGATGGGGAGGATGTGAAT